ATAGACTTATTCGCTTCTCTGGCGAACTCCCAGCTCTCGAGATTCTTCTCCCAGTTCCTGTCTCCAGGGGTGGAGAGAGCGGAAGCTCTTCGAGGTCCATGGCCAGGGGGCCTGCTTTACACGTTTCCCCCTCTCCCTCTGATCCTGGCAGCCATCCGCAAACTGCTGCAGGAATGGGCAGAGGTAATACTTGTGGCCCCATACTGGCCATGGAGGCCGTGGTTCGCCAACCTCGTGAATCTCTCCAGATCTCCCCCATGGAGGATTCCCCCAGATCACGTGTCCCTCAGTCAGGGGGTTCTACAACACCCAGAACCCCAGTGGCAGCAGTTAGCCACCTGGCACTTGAACACCGGATTCTGACCCGGGAATCATATTCGTCGGGTGTGATCATGATTCAGGCCTCCCGATGGCCAGCGACAAATCGCATCTATGACTCCACATGGAGGAATTTTTGCCTTTGGTGCGAGAGGCAGCAACTAGATATCTTGGAATTGACGATTCCACAGAATCTGGAGTACTTACTTGAAGGCCTTGATAGGGGCTTAGTGCCTAATACCATCCGCAGGCAGGTTGCGGCCCTATCAACCTTGCTTACCTGTGCCAATTCTGTTCCTTTGGCTCAGCATCCCAGGATACGCTCCTTTCTCAAGGATGCCACCAACACAAAACCGCCCGTGGTTCACAGGTATCCCTCTTGGGAATTGCTGTGGGTCCTACGGAACCTTACCAAAATGCCATTTGAGCCTATCACAACTTGTGTTCTACGGTCCTTGTCTCTCAAGACTGCCTTCCTGGTCGCTATCACATCAGCCAGGCGGATCTCTGAGCTTGTGGCACTGTCGGTCAAGGATGACCTCTGTACCTTTCACCAGAACTGGGTGGTCCTTTGTTTGGACCCTACCTTTATTCCCAAGGTTAACACCCTTTTCCATAGAACCCAGGAGATTGTCTTGCCGGATTTTTGCCTCAATCCATCTCATGACTTGGAACAACAGTGGCACACATTGGACGTCCGCAGGGCGTTACGCTATTATATCAAGCAAACGGCATCCTTCTGCAAGTCTGAAGCCCTCTTCGTTTCCTTTCACCATTCCTCTATGGGACAGAGGGTGTCTGCCTTGACCATAGGCAGGTGGATCAGGGCCTGCATTGTGGAGGCATACCAGTTGCATTCCCTGTGAGTCCCACATCATGTCACGGCACATTCAACTTGCAGTGCTGCGACCTCCGCGGCATGAGCCACACAGGCGTCCATTGAGGAGGTTTGTAGGGCAGCAACATGGTCTTCGCCTTCTCCTTTTGTACGGCATTACAAACTAGACAGGTTTGCCTCTGCAGACACCTCCTTTGGATGGAGGGTCCTTCAGCAAGTCGTACCTAGGGACGAGGCTCCGGCCCTCACTGCTTCCCCCCCATTGGGATAGTAGAGCTTTGGTATGTTCCATTGGTGGATTCTCCATCTCCTGTGCTGGAGAATGGGTGTTGTTTTACCTGAACGCCTTTTCTCAGCACGGAGATGGAGAATCCACTCCCACCCTTTGAGGTCCGTCTGGGCCAGTGTTAGGGGTCTGGGAGCCAACACGTCTGGCAATAGTCAGTGGCTTTCGCCCATGTCAAGACTGGGTGTGTCCTAGCCCAGGACGGGCTGGCAAGTTTGGCTGACTTGGTGTAATGGGCCGGAAGACAGTGCTAACCCATTAGTGGATTCTCCATCGCCTGAGAAAAGGCGTTCAGGTAAGACAACGCCCCTTCTATTAAATGCATCAGTAATAGATCAGAATCACCACCTCTGGCTTCTAATAGCAGATTTCTTATATCTATTTTGTGGAGAATGTCACCCTTTTATTTGAATCATGAGTTTGGGCCTTACTTGTGATCATACTCATGTGTTGTTGGAGTATAAATGTGTATCACAAATTCCTATGCTTAAATTCTGTAATCGGATGATGGTAGACTTCAGCGGTGCTAAACCAGATACAAGGGATGTGCAGAGATCCCCTATTAAAGAGGAAAATTTTGGAGTGTGCAAAAGCATGCACATGACATTGCTTCTTTCCTGGTTTCACAGACTGCCCACCATAGCTGTCAATCTCTGGGAAACACTTATTCGGTTGTAAATACCTTATCACAGCATGTTATCTTAGCAAAACAAGTTTTTACATAAAAGTATGTCACTGGCTAGCATCAGATTCTCTCTCTGAAATTTAAGGCTCTGCATTTGTCTCATCTGAGTCCAGAGGGCAGGCTGGAGCAATTAGCATTGCTTTTACATTATTTTTCCTAGAGTGCTGAGGAGAAAAAGCTTTTGCTGAATTTTCAGCAACCAACCATTTTGTTTTTTGTTAAATGCCTCTGAGCAATCTGTCATTCTGGAAAAAATATAGAAATAGTTGGGAGTTTTAGCCAATGTATAATTGTTGTCCACCATTGCTTTTGCCTTTGATGCAAAAACATATAATAGATTTGAAATCTTTGAAGCTAAGGCCAATATTAAAAGATGGAATGCTACTCAGTATTTTTTATCCTGTTGGCAAAGTTCTGCATTTTCTCCCCAATGATATTTATACAACTATCCAATTGCTGAGACTATGCTGGAAACGATTAGATTCAATGTCTGGACTTTCTTCCATGTGGAAGGTATTGTCTCTATGCTTTCAAAACTATACTTAATACCGATGTTGTTTGAGGTTTCCCAGCAAGATTGAACAATGGCCTCTTCCCTGAAAGTATGTTTTCCTACGCATCAAGTTTTGCAATTTCTTCATATCCAAATTTTCTACACATCTAAGAATTTTGCTGTGAGTGCTAAATTTTACATTATTTTTGCATTATGAAGACTGTCATATGTCAAAGTGTCCCAGTGACATTCCTCTATCAATTCACAGACCCCCCCCCCCAAGAATGAGAGCATTCAATCCTTGTCACACATGTAGAATTGTCATATGAAAGATTACAGAGTTTTACCATTTCAGAGTCGGAATAATGTTGCTAGGATGTCCTCATCAACCTGAAGTAACAGTGGATAAAGCTATGTCTGAGTGAACTAGGGACTTGAAGAATTCAAGCAAGAGATGCACTTTATACATTGAAATAGTTTTAGCCCCAGAATGAGATTCAGCATTAAAATTGGATGAAAAGAGGTGACAGGTCAGGCAAAAGTCAAATCCCCCTCAATGGACCACACTGAGGGACAAAAGACACAAGATTTTGGCACATTTAAATTAAGATTCAAACAAAAAGTGCAGTACCTAGTGTTTGAAGTAAATATGAGCCTTCCTGTTGTTTACCATGACTCAATTTCAACTGGTCATTTAATCATTCCAAAACCATGTATTTGTCGGACAAACAGATGGTACAGTGTTTCCCTGAAAATAAGACCTGGTCTTTATTATTATTATTTTTTGCCTCCAAAAGAAGCATCAGGTCTTATTTTTGGGGAGTGTCTTTTCCACGGTCTCGCCTCAGGGCGATGACACCGACAGCCCCGCCCACCCAGTCCACTTCTTCTGTGGCCGAATCCATAGCTCGGTTCTCGACTGCACAGGCCTTTCTGGAAGGACTCTGACTGCGAAATGCAGGCCAGAGCTCTATTCTTGGCTGCAGGGGCATTTCCTTTGGCTGCAGAAATGGGCCAGCGAGGTAAGGCAGGTGTTGATTTATGGGAGGCCTGGCTGCAACGGTAAGTAGGTGCATGGGCCAGCTCCACCCTCCTCACCCCACCCTAGCTTTTAAGGCGTGCACCTCAACCCAAAACTAGGGCTTATTTTGGCGTAGGGCCCACCCCCCAAAATAAGTTAGGGCTTATTTTCGAGCTAGGTCTTTTGGGGAAACATGGTAATACAGTTTAAAAGCCAATCTTGACATATATTGTGTTTCTTAAAAATAAGACCTCTCCCAAAAATAAGCCCTAGCCTAGACTGAAATTAAGGAAGAGCTATTTATATTGTGTCAAGGAGATTGTTACTACACCTCAAAAAGAACAATTAAAAAGATGGAAACTTTATGTTAAACAACTTCATAATTGGATAGAACGGTTTGAGGAATTTCTTGGAGGTTTGGAGGAGTGGATGATTTGGAAATGTTTAAATATACAGTGCATGGTTTGGCTACAACTAAAGACCACATGCAAAAATGGGAGTTTCTCCCAGAGGACAAGGATATTTACTGCAAATGTGCCATTATTCAACAACCATCCATCTTTTAAGTACCCCCTGGAATCAACATGTACACAAAATGACTTACTGGTCAGAAATATATGTGCCATCCATATGGCCTGGCATTGGGCTAGAACTATATAAATTTATGTTTTTATTAAAGTTTTTAATCTTTAAAGTTAATAATTTTCCCCTTTCTAGTTCCTATATTTCTGACACAAGACAGAGGCAATTTGTGTCAAACATTGCGAGGACTCTATTTATAGGGCTAAAAATTAATGGGAAAAATAGAAGTCAGTGGGATTCAATGTGGCTCAAACGTATGAATTTTACTTTTCTACTAAATGAACATTAAAAATTCATATATATGAATTGTGTGGCTATGTGGCTTTTATTTAAACATCCATATTTGATGGTTTAGCTGTTATTTGTTGCTAAAGTGACACTTTATCCAACAAGATTTTTTAACAGTTTGATTAGTCTCTTCAGAATGCTGAAATCAAGTATTAATTAGAATGAATTATTATTCAGGGGATCTTTTTCACATCAAAAGTCCTTAAAGCTACATGCTCAGTGCACACGAACAATTTCTATTTTTTTTTTCTGAAACAGAAATTGTATAATTGGAGGATATTAGGAACATCACACCTTCTTTCCTAAACTTTTGGAACACTTACATGATGCAGCCCAAATATACTTATATTGGATTAATATACTTTTAAACCAATTTTCTATGATGCTATAAAATATTTGCATGATGTTTCAAATTTATTTTAAAAAGGAACAGTTGCAGTTATTTAAGCAATGGAATATGATTTTTTCCATTAGACCTTTCAACACAAATGAGTGTCTAAATACAAAGCTTTATTGAAATTGATTGACATGTTATGTAAAAATCTGCTTCAAGACTGGAATACATGCGGTACCTAAGGAAAAGCAGTAGCATAAGCCAAGAGCTGTTTCACAGTAAATGGTAGCATTTTAAATTGAGCCTTGGAAAAAGAGAACCCTCTCTGTGCCAAATAGCTAATGTGTCACTGAGCGTGAACAAGAGCACCAGCGCCTTGGCCATAGCCAAATCCTTTGGGGCCAAAGTTCTTTGCATAACAACCTGAAAAGATGAAGAGTAAACTATTAGTTCTATTCAACTATAAATATGGTGTTTTTTAAAAATATAATCAGATACAGAGAATATTAATTTACAAAGTGCTTCTACAATTGCTAATGTGAACCAATCTCTCTACACAGGTATCTTGTGCAGATGTTACATATACAATATATAGAGATCTCTCACCATTCAATAAAGCTGTCCCATATGACAATAATTGGAGCATATTATCACTTACATTTTTATCTGCTTAAACTAAACCAGTGTGATAAATGACGTTAAACTAATGGTAATCCCATCTCCTTTTTAGATTTAAAATTACATATCTTGTACAAGAACAATTTTGATATTTTACCTTACCTTTGCAATAGATTTCGCCCTCCTTCTCTGTCAGAGTTGTTGATTCGAGGCTTTTACCACACTTGGCACAGCGAAAACAATTTTTGTGCCAAGGCTACAAAGAAAACAAACTATTTCAGACTTCTATGTTTCATCATTTTCAGTAGATGCACATAATCTTTTTCATGGAGAAAATCTATATGGTCACTAAGAATACTCGATACCAACTTGATGGCACATAATAAATCAATCTAATCTTCTAGAGATCATTATGTTTTTCATGTTAGATTGCTTCCTTTTAGTAGAAAGCATTTAAATACAAATTTATTTGGGAAAATGACTTAGTCCCCATTCCCAGGTGGTGTTCTTTTTTACGAAATGTATTTTAAAGCAAATAAAACCAACCCAGTTCTAACAAGTAAAGGTCATTGCTTTCAATTAAATCACCAAGCAAGTCCAGAATAGTTTGCCAGGGCATTTGCAAACTATTTTATGTCACCTTACCTTTCCAGCTCCTATTACTCTCTCAGCTGCATACACAGAGTCACCGCATCTGGAACATTTTTCTACCCCTCCAAATTTCTGAGCAAATTTTGAAGTATTTGGACTTGTTGTAGGTCGATGAGAAGGTACGCTAGAATGAAAAGAACTGCTGAAATGAGTGTCTTTCTGAATGAGCAATGAACAGTCAGGCTAGACTGTGCTCTCATTAACAGTGTGCAAAATCAGGGTCTTTTATTTCTTCCCCTAAGAGCAACTATACCTCTACAAAGAACCACGACAAAGGAAGGGTATATTGTTGAAATCTAGCTCCATTTATCATCCCCAGGAGGGCCATAAGTTGACTTCAATTATGACAAGAGAAAAAAGGAATCTTTAAATAAAAGAATCAGTTTTGCTTGGGCAAAATGGGCTGCAAAGAATATAACACATTAATCTCTTGAGATAGATCAGTAAGTCTTTCCTCAATAATGCTTTGATTATTATTGTTACTAAATTTGCCTGTTGCCTCTGTGACCAGAAGAGGCAAGCTAGTACATACTGGCTTGATGCAAGAGGAAATCACAGCAGCCAAATTTGTAAGCTGAAGAGAAAGAACATACAACCATATTCCTCCATTGGGAAGCCATGATTTGTGTTGCACTGAACTGAACTATAAGATTGCTCAATCTAACTTTCCCATTTAAGACCTTAACACGATTCAACAAGGGACTAGATAGAAGTTTACTTCTTCCTCACAGTGTTTCATCTGATCATAAAACATTTTAGTCAATAGGAATTGATCTTGGCAAAAAGATAACCTTGCTTTTTTTGAGCTTTGCTTTCACAGGATGTAACAATCCATTACATACAAATAAAAAGAACTGGCAATTTTCTACAAATGCTGGTCTCTTGAACAGCCTCAGATAATTAATGCTCAAATACAGAACCAGAGTGATCTTTTTATTCCACTTTTATTTAAGGTGTTCTTGATAGTTTGTATTTAATAGATAATACATCTAATGTTTCAAGCTAGACCTAAGGCAAAAAGAAGGCTATTTTCTACATCTAGTTATTTGCTATAGTTCAAATTGTAGCCAGCTAGAGGTAAATAACTGCTGTACCTACTTGTCATGTTTTATGCCAAGCCTTTCTCCTCTGTCCATATTGAGAGTGCCTGCTCCTTGCCCATAGCCATATCCTTTGGGGCCATATTTTTTCCCATAACAAGACTTGCAGTATATTTCTTCATCATGCATGGCCACAGTTGTGCTATCCAGGTTTTTCCGGCATACCACTAAGGAAGAAGTTAGATAAGTTTATTACCTAAAAAAAAGTTTCAGTAGCTATGTCTGTTGACAACTGAGGGGGCTGGTTCTTTGAATAAGAGTATTATATTGTTCTATTAATATGTTCTGTCCTCTTTGGCTTTTAAGATTTGCATTTGCAGAAAGGAAACTTGATTAAATTTAATTTGTGAGGCTATGAAAGGAACATTTTTTCTTTGTTTCAAACCTCATAGAACTATTTACATCAGTACCAATAAGTTTAATCATGCAAGAGTTTCCAAGGACATGTTACCTTTACAAAACATCTACAACTTTATACCAAACAAGGACTGTTTTCTTAGCTGTTTCATTAATATTTTGTGTGAAACAGCTAAAATATGGAGCCAATTTAAATCCACATTCATACAAGCTTATTACTTATTCCTCTTTTAAACATATGTTACTTGTTTAGTTGGCTGGGAAACAAGTATCTCTGTATTAATAAGACAAGTAACTCTGTATTAATAAGCAAATAAAAGTAGCTTTTCTACAATCACAGTTCTGCATTATATACATTTTATGAAAGTTAAGAATTAAATAATTCAATTTAGACTTGCTGAAAACAGTGTTGCTTTGAGTATTTGATCAAAAACAGGCATTTTAGAATTAATATAGTAGTAGACCATAATGCGTGCTCAGTAAATTAGATATCTCCACAACTAAGATTATAAAAGCTGAAACATTGGCATCAGGATCAAACCAGATGTTAATACAAATGAAGAGCCATTCTAAAATTTCAAGCTAAGAGCAATGGAAACAAGCGCTGTGAAAGAATTAACTCTTTATGGAATTAGATTGGTCTGCTTCTCCTTTCCTCAACCAGGAAAGCTGAGCTATACTGCTGCAATAATGGTTTTGTTTTTGATTTTACTATCAGTTTTTGTCCAGGTACTAAAATTGGATTCCATGCTTCAGTTTAATTGTGTACAGTATCAATATGTTTCACACTTTCCTAAGACACTATCATGTTTCCAGTGTTGAAACTCATTGGATTTAGCAATTATAAGTTTAACGAAGAAACTCTTGAGCTCAATTCCATACGTAGAGAAGCTAAATTATATATTCCTTCATCACTGAAATTTATTCCTTCTTGATAGTTTGTAAAATGTGAAGAAGCAATCCTGAAAGCAAACTATAAAACTTTAAAAGTATTTGTTATTCTTTTTAGCCCTTGCCATTCACTGCATAGGTTTTACTGTAAGTAATATCTTTCATGGTAGTTGAAACTTGATTGAGCTTCTATTTAAATGTACCTTATAAAAATTCCAATTCAACTTTCAGTTTAATTGGTTTTTATCCTTTTATTTTATATAAGTTACATTAGCATTTATCAAATAATAGTATTGTTCATGATACCCTATCAGCCAATTGTTTGAAATAATTAGAAGATACTAAAATAGGAATCATGTTTTAGTACAAAAATTCAGAATCTTAACAATCTGCTAAGCTGAACAACTGCATCAACTCGGTTCTTAAAAACAGTCTACAACTTCTGTGGCAAAGCCCAAGAGAATTTTGTCTCCATTAGGCTGAAATAGAAAATCAACTACTGTAAACCACATCATTAATTTATTTGATATAAGCATTGAAGGGAATCAAACTATCTGAAAGCATTCTTTTAACTGTACATTTGTTCTACAAAAAGTCTGCATGAATCATAGAGGAGTATGGAATACAAACTTGCAAAATACAATCTTATATCATTTTACATTGTGACCTTTGTTCTCTGGAGCCCAACGTGGCAACTGTATAGCTCAGTACTAAATTTATGTTCTTGCTATTTATAATCTTATGATCCATACTGATCAAATACTGTTAATTCATTCAAAAAGAGTTTCATAAGTACTTACTACAAAGAAAGCAACATCTGTGGAAGCTTCTCCCATCACACTGGACTTCTTCCGCATGGTATACTATTCTACCACAGGCTCCACATTTGTTTCCACCTCCCCAGTTTGGCATTTTGAGTCTGCAGAATAAATGCTAACAATTAACAAAAGGATGAAAAATGTGCTCCCACCAAGGCCTTTTTTGCCCAAACCCCCAAGCGCCGTAATCCATGCTGCAAACCGGCTTAAAGAAGTGCTGACCCATACCTCCAACCCTTATTCAGTCTCAGTAATAGAGAAAGCGGGTTCCATCTACAAAAGAAGTTGGGGGGAGGAGAGAAAGGGATGACCAAAGCCTCCTTTGGTGCCAGTTAATTACTGGCTGCTGAAGACCCACTTTATAGATGTAAAAAAATGAGTCCATGGGAGACAGAGGTTTTAGCCACATTTGCCTGCACTTGTAGCTTGTTGGAAGAAGAGTGGTAAGCTTGTCTACTATTCATTTGGAAGACTGATAAACCTTTTATTCATAACGAGTGTAAACATTAGGATGAAGAAATGATGTTGGATGAAACTTCCAGCTATCCTCCACTCAATTGTTCTTTCGGCACAGAGGCTCACCAGTGTTACAGGCACCTGGTAGACATGTTTACTGTTCTTTCTACTGCTTAAGTGAAGGATAATAGAATAGTCTGAAAGTGGTTCAGTTTAATTATGATTTTCTTTTCCTGTAAAACTTATATATAGAAGCTACTAAGCAATGATTACTTAGATGTAAACATGATTGGAATATGGCTAGAATTAATAATTAATCCGAAATAAAACATCTATACCCATTTATTGCATTGTAGCACATGCATAATTTAATACTAGCATGCCAATAATCCCCTTTATGGATTACTGTCTTGTCGTGGCGAAGGGGCTTGTGTAACTCAATGAAGCTATAAGCTATGCTGTGCAGGGCCACCCAAGACGGACAGGTCATAGCAGATTGTTCTGACAAAATGTGATCCACTGGAGAAGGAAATGGCAAACCACTCCAGTATCTTTGCCATGAAAACCCCATGGACAGTACTAAAAGGCAAAAAGATATGACGCTGGAAGATGAGCCCCTCAGGTCGGAAGGTGTCCAATATGCTACTGGGGAAGAGCAGAGGGCTAGTACTAGTAGCGCCAGAAAGAATGAAGCGACTGGGCCAAAGCCGAAAGGACGCTCAGCTGTGGATATATCTGGTGGTGAAAGGAAAGTCCGATGCTGTAAAGATTTTTTCTCCATAGGAACCTGGAATGTAAGATCCATGAATCAAGGCAAGCTAGACGTAGTCAAAAAAGAGATGACAAGACTGAACATCGACATCTTAGGAATCAGCGAACTAAAATGGACAGGAATAGGTGAATTTAACTCAGATGACCATCAGGTATACTACTGTGGGCAAGAATCCCTCAGAAGAAATGGAGTAGCCTTCATAGTCAATAAAAGAATAGGAAAAGCAATACTGGGATACAATCCCCAAAATGACAGAATGATCTCAATTCGAATCCAAGGCAAACCATTCAATATCACAATAATCCAAATCTATGCCCCAACCACTGGTGCTGAAGAGGATGAAATTGACCGGTTCTATGAAGCCCTACAGCACCTTATAGAATTAACACCAAAAAATGATGTCCTTATCATCATGGGGGATTGGAATGCTAAGGTAGGAAGCCAAAAGATAACCGGAATAACGGGCAAGTTTGGCCTTGGAGTACAAAATGAAGCAGGGCACAGGCTGATAGAATTTTGTCAAGAGAATACGATGGTCATAACAAACACTCTTTTCCAACAACCCAAGAGACGGCTCTACACATGGACATCACCAGACGGTCAACATAGAAATCAGATTGACTATGTGCTCTGCAGCCAAAGATGGAGAAGCTCTATACAGTCAGTAAAAACAAGACCAGGAGCTGACTGTGGCTCAGATCATGAGCTTCTCGTTGCAAAATTTAGGCTTAAATTGAAAAAAGTAGGGAAAAGCACTAGGCCACTCAGGTATGAACTAAATCATATTCCTGATGAATATACAGTAGAGGTGACAAATAGATTTAAGGAATTAGATCTGATAGACAGAGTGCCTGAAGAACTATGGATGGAAGTTCGCAACATTGTACAAGAGGTAGCAACTAAAACCATCCCAAAGAAAAAGAAATGCAAGAAAGCAAAATGGCTGTCTGAGGAAGCTTTGCAAATAGCTGAGGAAAGAAGGGAAGCGAAAGGCAAAGGAGAAAGAGAAAGATACACCCAATTGAATGCAGAATTCCAGAGAGTAGCTAGAAGAGATAAGAATGCCTTCTTAAATGAACAGTGCAAAGAAATAGAAGAAAACAACAGAATAGGGAGGACCAGAGATCTCTTCAAGAAAATTGGAGATATGAAGGGAACGTTTCATGCAAAGATGGGCATGATAAAGGACCAAAATGGCAGAGACCTAACAGAGGCAGAAGAGATTAAGAAGAGATGGCAAAACTACACAGAAGAACTATACAAGAATGAGCTTAACATCCCAGATAACCACAATGAGATGGTCACTGACCTCGAACCAGACATCCTAGAATGTGAAGTGAAATGGGCCTTAGAAAATCTGAGCAACAACAAAGCTAGTGGAGGTGACAGTATTCCAGCTGAGCTATTCAAAATCTTAAAAGACGATGCAGTAAAAGTGCTACACTCAATTTGCCAGCAAATTTGGAAAACTCAACAGTGGCCACAGGATTGGAAAAGGTCAGTTTACATTCCAATTCCAAAGAAAGGCAATGCCAAAGAATGTTCAAACTATCGCACTCATTTCACATGCTAGTAAAGTTATGCTTAAAATCCTACAAGCTAGACTCCAGCAGTATGTGGATCGAGAACTACCAGAAGTACAGGCAGGATTTCGAAGAGGCAGAGGAACTAGAGATCAAATTGCCAACATACGCTGGATCATGGAGAAAGCTAGGGAGTTCCAGAAAAACATCTACTTCTGCTTCATTGACTATGCTAAAGCCTTTGATTGTGTGGATCACAACAAATTGTGGCAAGTTCTTAAAGAGATGGGAATACCAGACCATCTTATTTGTCTCTTGAGAAACCTATATGCGGGTCAAGAAGCAACAGTGAGAACTGGACACGGAACCACTGATTGGTTCAAAATTGGAAAAGGAGTCCGGCAAGGCTGTATACTGTCGCCCTGCCTATTTAACTTATATGCAGAGCACATCATGAGAAAGGCAGGGCTAGATGAAACAAAAGTTGGAATTAAGATTGCCGGGAGAAATATCAACAACCTAAGATATGCAGATGATACCACTCTAATGGCAGAAAGTGAAGAGGAACTAAAGAGCCTCTTGATGCGGGTGAAGAAGGAGAGTGCAAAAGTTGGCTTGAAACTCAACATTAAGAAAACCAAAATCATGGCATCCGGCCCTCTCAATTCCTGGCAAATAGATGGGGAAGAAATGGAGGTAGTGACAGATTTTATTTTTCTGGGCTCCAAGATCACCTCAGATGGGGACTGCAGCCAAGAAATTAAAAGACGCTTGCTCCTGGGGAGGAAAGCTATGGCAAATCTAGACAGCATTCTAAAAAGCAGAGACATCACCCTGCCAACAAAAGTGCGTATAGTCCAGGCCATGGTTTTCCCAGTTGCAATGTATGGCTGTGAAAGTTGGACCATAAGAAAGGCTGAGCGCCAAAGAATTGAGGCCTTTGAACTATGGTGCTGGAGAAGACTTCTGCGAGTCCCTTGGACTGCAAGGAGTTCAAACCGGTCAGTCCTAGAAGACATCAACCCCAAGTGCTCTTTAGAAGGCCAGATCCTGAAGTTGAAACTCAAATACTTTGGCCACCTAATGAGAAGGAAGGACTCACTGGAGAAGGGCCTAATGCTGGGAAAGATTAAGGGCAATAGAAGAATGGGACGACAGAGAATGAGATGGCTGGATGGAGTCACTGAAGCAGTAGGTGTGAACTTAAATGGACTCCAGAAGATGATAGAGGACAGGAAGACCTGGAGGAACATTATCCATGGGGTCGCGATGGGTCGGACATGACTTCGCAATTAACAATAACAACAATGCCAATAATGCTATGTTTTTGAGAATCTTAGATTACAGCATAGTTTTGCATCATGTAATGATCAAAATGAAGTGAAAAATGACAATGTGTCATATACTTCAAGTACTTGTAATTTTTCATAAATTTTCATATATCCTAAAAAAGGATATATTTATCCTATAGTTTTGTTTCATTACTATTCAAAATCTATTCAAAGTATGAGCCCAAGACCGGCAAATATATATTTCAAAATCTTAACAGTAGAAGACTCCCACATTTTGTGGTATCTCCTAAAAATTAGAAGATGCTTGTCAGTTTGTTTTGACAACAAAGTAACCAAGAATTATAAATAAACTTTCCTTCCATTTGCAACTCCAATAATTCATTGTTATTACAAATAATTAAAACTGGTGTTCTTGCACATTTGCTATTTTTATTAGGAATATTTGATACTTTTTTTTAGCAAGATATCATAATCTCTACAATTCTTCAGAGTATAAGAATCTAGATATTTAAAGCTTTAGAGATTCCTTAATCTACAGCAAGGTTTCTCAACCTTGGCCACTTGAAGATTTCTGGGAGTTGAAGTCCACACCACTTCAAGTGGTCAAGGTTAAGAAACACTGGTATACAGTATTCCCTGGATGGTTTTACAAATGAATCACATTTTCATTTCTGTGACACAGGCAAATACATGTTAGGATTTAGTGCTCCAGTCTGTCTTGGTGCAGACTGTTCTTCATGAAGCAATTGAGAGATATTATCACTGCTCTTTATGATGTTTCACAGCAGACCTACGTTTTAAAATTAATATAGTGTGACAACCTGAACAGTTTAAGAGACCTTAAATGAAGTTGGCTCTCAAATTTCATGTAATACAATATCTCACTGCTCCATTTGTATAGACGCTTCACATTCAAGACTTGCCTTTGGTTTAGCATCATAAATGACTTAGTTTCTGATGTAACCAGGAAATTGTTATATATATCTCCCTCCCCTCCCCTCCCCTCCCCTTCTCTCTCTCTCTCTCTCTCTCTCTCTCTCTCTCTCTCTCTCTCTCTCTCTCTCTCTCTCGTCCAAGTGGCTCTTTGAGTGTTTAAGGTTGCCGACCCCTGAACTAGTGCATCACTTGAAGTTGTGCAATGCTGCCTTGGCTATTGCCATTCTTCAACAGGACTGGCGAGTCAAGGAATACCTCCAGATTGCCCATCACTTCTGAATGGAGAAGTGCAATTCACCCAGGAGTAAGGATAGAAAAATCTCACTTTAGGTGATCCTAAGAACCACAGCCATTTGATTTTAGTAGAATAGAGCCAAGATCAATTCTTTCCCTTCCGGGCCCATACAGATAGTACTTTAACAACCTAATTTGGTTGTCCTGGAATTAAAAATATTATTGGGTATCATCAGAATATCAGACTCTAAGATTGCAGATGACTCAGCAGTTTTATGTGAATGTTGAACAAGAGAAGAAAAAGCATTGAACTTCATGGCACTCCATAAAGAAAAGGTATGGGGAGCAAACTCTTCCCCTCCTTGCCAACACTGACTGAAACCAGCCTTGAAAGAAAAAAGGGAACCACTGCAATATGGTGCCTCCAATTCCCAAATCCCGGAGTCAGTCCAGGAGGATACCAGAATTGACAGTATCATACTTTTCTACAATAGGATGCTTTCATCGTAAGTACAGGTGGCACCATGCTCAATAATAGCAACTGTGAGAGGGATCTTGGAGTCCTAGTGGACAATCACTTAGATATGAGTCAGCAGTATGCTGCAACTGCCAAAAAAGCCAATATAGTGCTAGGCTGCATTAACAGAGTCAAGTCTTAATAGAATCAAGATCACGTGATGTATTAATACTACTTTACAATGCCTTGGTAAGGTCACACTTGGAATACTGCATCCAGTTTTGGTCACCACGATGTAAAAAAGATGTTGAGACTCTAGAATACAGAGAAGAGCAACAAAGATGATTAGGGGACTGGAGGCTAAAGCATATAAGGAACGGCTGCTGGAATTGGGTATGGCTAGTTTAATGAAGAGAAGGATGAGGGGGGACATGATAGCAGTGTTCCAATATCTCAGGGGCTGCCACAAAGAAGAGGGAGTCAAGCTATTTTCCAAACTGCCTGAAGGCAAGACAAGAAGCAACGGATGGAAACTAATCAAGAAGAGTAGCAACCTAGAACTAAGGAGAAACTTCCTGACAGTTAGAACAATTAACCAGTGGAACAACCTGCCTCCAGAAGCGGTGAATGCTCCAACACTGGAAGTTTTAAAGAAGAGACTGGACAGCCATTTGTCCGAAATGGTATAGGGTTTCCTGCCTGAGCAGAGGGTTGGACTACATGACTTCCAAGGTCCCTTCCAACTTAATAATAATAATAGTAGTAGTAGTAGTAGTAGTAGTAGTAGTAGTAGTAATGTAAAGCAAGATAAAATGTAGTATTTCCATACCATACAATTTTGCCTTGGATATACTTATTACAGGAAAGACAAATATGATAAAATAAGTTTTAGTAAAATATCTAAAATTAGCTTCTATTATCCAATTGCTTCCATGCTATTTAACACCTTCAACCTAGAAAATTTTCTATACTCTGATTTGGAGGCTGTAGAACAAGTTCTATGAATCAGATGAGATTACATAATTTTTGGGATCTATCCTAGGAAAGCAACAGCGCTAGATTTTCCATCCTTCCTTATTTTGCTTTCATGACAAAATTTGTTGTATTAAAGAGTAAATTTATTCCAAAATAAAAAATATTTTGAAGGAAGAAGTTATAAAACAGAATATAAATTGCCTGTTTGAGGACTATTCAAGATTTCCCGAGAAGTTTCTAAATATTGCATTGATAAAATTTAAACAAAACTATTTTGAAATATAGAAGACAGCATCAGTTTTACAAATCCATCCAACAATGGACAGCCATTTTCACAAAATATTCAAAATTTTGGTTACGTTCTCATATGTTCCAATTCATTTTCAAAAGATATGAATTTCTATTATTGCAACCTTTGAGGACAGGACAGTCAATATCAGCAAGCCAACCACATAGACTGTCAATGAATATGATTAAGCTACATTAAATACATCAATTAGTTTTCTATTCAGAGGTTTACCACAAGGACTCATACTTTTACTAAGGGACATTTAATTTAAAAAAAATCTCACAAAAGAGAAATAAGGGAACCTCCAGCAGATTAATAGGTAAGGCTGCATTTTAAAAAAAGACAGCTACCGTTTAATCACTTCCATTTTAAATTAATATTCAACCCAATGGATATCCATCATAAACCAAGAAATCTCAAACATTTCTTTACTAGCACACACAAATGCGCTAAAGGAAACAAGTGTTTTACTGAGCTTTTAACATATGTATTGAACTCTAACATATGGGTCCCCAACCCCCAGTTCATGGACCAGCACCAGTCTGTGGATGCCAGAAACCAGTCCGCACAAACAAGCAAAGCCCCATCTGCGGGATGCAGGCAGTACATGAAACTAGGCCCCCTCCACTCCATGAAAAACCTCTCTCCATGGTACCAGACCACGGTGCCCAAAACGTTGGGGATCTCTGCTCTAACATGTCTCCCAGTGATATAATTCAAAGTCTATATTATGTGAACAGTACACCTTTTAATAGCAGTTTGCTGGCAGACATAAACTAAATGAGCAACAGTTTATGAAAGTGGCTGCCTTTTAATAAAATGTGTGAATCTGAAAATGTGTTATTAAACTCTCATTTTTTAGTTAGAGGCTACAATTTCACATATAACCTGCTTTCTCATAAGCAATACACTTTATAGAGATTTCATAAATGGGATCAAGCTAAATTAGAGTATAGAATAGCAGGGCTGGACTTGAGATCTTTTAGTCCAACCTTATGATGAAGTAGGAGCCCTTATCATTCCGGCAAATGGTTATCCGACTTCTTGAAAATTTTTCATTCCATTAAGCTATATACTCACACCTTTTTCACAAAATACAACTTCAGGCTAGGATGCAATAGATTGCTTCAAAAGTAGATTACCACTTCAAGACATCTGGGTTGAATGGGCTCCTTATTAGTGCAATAAATGGATGGGAGGCGGAGAGGAGAATGCAGGAGGAGAAAACAAAGACAATTACCTACTTAAGGGCGGATACAGGATTTAGAAAGATAAATCCTAGACAAATCACGAAACGCCCACAGTCACCGAGGTACAGATATTCTGCGCCCACCCGTACGTATGAGGGAGCCAGTCTTCTAAACTGAAGTAGTAATTCATTGTAGCAGACGCTTTTAAAAAAAAACCTCGTAAAACCTTCCATTTTGGAATAAGCACCTTTGGAAACGCCCCCGCCAGAGGTGGTCGCGTTTGACAGCCTTTCCAAAGGCGATTCCCTCATTGCCACCGGTCCGAGTCCAGTGAAGCCTCCCCGCAGACCCCTCGGACTGGCCGGGCGGCAACTAACTTCAGGAGCCTCCAAGCAGGGCTAAGGTACAAAAGCGAAGATGGTCGAGGTGGGTAAGGAAAGCAAATCGCGAGAGAAGTCCCGGCATTGTCCCTCCTCCTTCTCTATGTAGTACGCTACGCGCACCTCACTTCGCCCCTTACCTATCAACACCGCTGCAGCTAGATCCCCCACCTCAGTTGTGGCTCTCCAAGAAACAAACCTAGAGTCTTCTTGGTGGCTATTTATCGGCTTTCTCGAGGAGGTGGAGCCATCGGGCGGCTTCTCCAACCCAGTCCCCGCCCCATTCTGACGTTGATCAGCTGCAGTAAAACAAGCCCTTCATGCTCTCTTTCGTGGTAATAATGGCTTTTCGTCGTCATTTTTTGTTTAGCCGCCCGTGAGCTTTTGATGCCCCTTCTGAAGGCCACTCCATTTGCATTTCATCAAAATAGTAGGCAGTTTTGAAATGTAATAATCTTAGGATTCAGAGTGAAGTAAACTTGAAATATGAAACCCCTGGCTAGTTAAGTAGAAACATTTCTAGATGTTCTCTCAGCATCCCAATAATGAATATATTTAATAAAGGGTATTTTGGATATAGGCTTGCATTTAGCTTTCAATAGTGATAGAATATAGCGATTGCACTAATTATTAGAGAGCGCAGGGGTGTCAAACTGCCGGCCCGCGCGCCGGTTGCATCATACGGAGGCTGCACCCTCCCCAGCTCCGGCAATGCAAAAAAAAAAAAACAACAACAAACAAACAAAAAAAAACCCCTCACGATACGTCGTGACACGTCACGTGATGTGGCGAGTTTGACATCCTTGATTACAGGGAAGGGGAATATAAACTTCCTAGGGGTATTTAGCTATGTCCATTGTGACAGTTGGGTCCTGATCTTTGACATACCCATTACAATCTTTATAGCCTGCCTCGGAGGTGTATATGATATCAACCATTGTTTTATTTCCATTGTCCTAAAGTAGATTAAAAAAGTAAAGATGGGCCCACCTAATGATAACATCATTACCAAAATGGCATTACTTGAAGTGCCACTATGTCCTAATCTATGCACGATATCCCACAATAAGTTAAAAAAAATCATATCCTTGTTTGCCCCAAGATGTGCAAAGCCACTATGGCATATTAACCAAGTTGCATATCCTGCTACCCCTCACCCACAATGGGCATATCTCAATCTATATGAGACCTATAAACTGCCATTTTGGTTTACAGAACTGATACCTGAAAACAAAGCCGCTCACTGACTATTCAACTGGAACCATTATACAATTTTGTGGTAGTGAACAACCTGCATTGGTTCACTTTATAAACATGTTAATTATTGCTCTTGGCAAGCTCATGGTTATGAGGGCTGGGATGCCATCCTATATTTCCTTCACTCCAAGTAAACGTTTCTAGTTAAATGGGAGCTCAGGATGGTTTCCCCATCCTCAATTCTTGGCTTAAGTTTTATAAAAGATTTTCTTTAATTATAATAAAATCATCTTTCATTGTGGTCTTTGGAAAATAGCAACTATTAACAAGATTATTTTTCTCCCTCTGAGAACAGTGCTTTGTTATTTTGCAAGCCTTTTGCTAATTATAATTTAATCTAGTTTTATGAAACATAAGAAGTCTCTTTCCGTACTGGATTAAAGATTTGCAACAAACAGAGAATGGTTTTATATCCTTCTTTGACCATACATTCAGAAAACTACTTTCCTGTATCAAGGCTGCCTTCTTAATTAGACTAAAAGGCATTAATTCAGTTTGCAAGGGGAACGCCTGCTGAACTTTTGAGGATCATTGTGTGTATCAGCTGAGTAGTACTTCTAAACACAAGGCCCTCTTTGTTTTGTTTTGTCATTTAGGCATAACTTCCAAATGACACTGAAATAGAAAACCATTGTTTTGATTTGAAGGTAGGCATATTTTCATGAATCATTCAATTGCTCTCTATTTTTCTATTGTAAATTTGAATTGTAAAGGCCCAAATAGGCATATTTAAATACACAATTGCATACTTTATAGTTAGCCTTTATAAAATTAATATTCAAAGCAATTAATATTGTATAATTGAAAGGTCCAAAATGAAGCTATTCATTAGTAATATCAGCATGGTGAATGGGAACCAGTGTAAGGACCAGAGCCTTAAAACAAGAAGTTTTTTTTAAAAAAATAAGTGTTGGAAGATATTATTAGTGAGTTTGGCTTACTTATAAATAAGGCTTATAGAGGTTTGTTGACAATAGGAAAGGGCATTGCTGTTTAATATAGATCAGCATTGTTAAATGTGGTACTTTTAAACGGAATTAGATTTCTTCCTTTCAAAATTCAGAGCTATTTGCCATACATTCTACAGAGTGTGAATATTGAAAATCCTGTATTTGTGCATTTGCCATACATTCTACAGAGTGTGAATATTGAAAATCCTGTATTTGTGCTGGATACCAGTTTGGGGAAGATTGATGTAGACTGGGTTCATACATCTTACTGAAGTTATAATACTATTTGTTTGATTTGGGCTTAGTCACTGTATTTATAAGTGATTATTTAAGAAAGATTTAGATATTGGAATACAACTAAGAAAATTCAGATTTAGGACAAAAAGCTAATAGGTGTCTGTAGGACAGTCGTTATCTCTAATCCAAACATCTCACAGGGTTTCTGATGGGGAAAAAAAATGGAGGAAGAAGAGGTAGGTTTACTTCCAGAGTAAAAGTGGTATAAGCCCTCCCCCCCCCATGATGTATGAACTTAATCCATTGTAGTTTATTTTCTATATAACAATTTCAGTGTAATTTTAAAGTTCATCAATTAATGTAATGTTGTGATTATAAGGTACTTGAGAGTTGTATTGCACAATCTTTGATCAACTTATTGTACATCTAATTACTTAAAAATTGTGCTAAAATTTCTGCTGTGGAAATGTATAATAATAAAAATGAAGAATTTAAAATTGGCATTGGCTCCAGATTGTCTTACAGTTTTGCTTAAATTAATATGGCGCTCCTTATATGTATTTAATTTCCTCCATGAACTATTATGTATGATAACAGTGTCTAATGAGTTTAAAGGGACTCTTAATATAGCCTTAAAAGTGAGTGATTACATAATGTCTAGTCAGCAGTGTCTACTTATGATGAAAGTGGTTGTTCATTAAATAGGTGAACATAAAGGGTTTAAAAAAATTTTTAAGCAATTACAAAAACCACAATCAGAAACGTAAGACCTTTTTTAAAAAAATATTTCTTTTACTCATAGTTATGAGCAGTCCTTTTTTTGTAAAAAAAAAATAAAAAAAAATAAGGTGCCGGAACTCACACATGTCATACAACCCGCCTTGCCTACCCTATAAGGTTCCATCCAAAAAGGGTGCTGGAACTCCGTTCTGGGCGTTTTATGAGGAAAAAAGCCCTAGTTATGAGTATATGGAGCTGTTAAGCAGATATATCTAAAGCAAGAAGAACGAAGTACACAGTTTCTATGTAATCCTAAATGTAATTAATGAAAATGTGCAATGCAAACCACTGATTGCTGATGCTTGTTTTCCTGGTAATAAGTATATGTTGCAATATTTTTCCAAGGAAATCTAAGCCAAGATAGAACTTTTCTATTTTTGACATTTCTATGTTGTTTTAATAGGCTACTCAGATTTTTCTTTTCTAGCTTTCTCAATAATACCACATAACAGCGCTGTGTGATTGTAGCTAACTAGAGCTGCAAGTACAACTGAGCAGAAAAGAGATGTGGCTGGAGAAGGGATAGAAAAAGAGAGAGACTAAAAACAGAAGGGAACAAATAAACATTTGCTAGACAGTTTTTTAAAAAGGCCAAGCAGGAAATTTAAGATGAATCTATGAAGAGATTCATCATTCTTAGATAATAAACCTTGCCTCATGTGCCAGAATGAAGGCTATCACAACTAAAGTCCCATCATTCAATTATATAACAATCGTCCCAAACTAATGTTTATCTCAGGCAAGACTTTTTGCCCTAATACTTAAACACTTGTGGAATTTTTTCATCCGGCTTCCCCATTAACTTTGCTTGCCAGAAGGTCACAAAAGGTGCTCACATGACCCTGGCAAGCATCATAAATATGAGTTAGTTGCCAAGTGTCTGAATTTTGATCATGTGACCATAGGGAATGCTGCAATGGTCACATGACCATAGGGATGCTGCAATGGTCATAAGTGTGAAAAATGGTCATAAGTCATCTTTTTCAGTGCCTTTGTTACTTTGAATGGTCACTAAAAGAACTATAAGTAGAGGACTACCTATTTACTACAGGAGGATAACTTTAAATGGTTAGTGTAGTTGTTTTTTGCAAAAACAGTTCACAGAATTTTTATTTCTAATCCAAAATTCTGCCTGCTGCCTCAAATCATTTGAGGTTCCACCTGAAATCTGGAGGGCTCTCACCCTGCTGGCATTCCAAAGAGCCATAATGAGAAGAAGTGACCACAGAATTGTCAAAGTAACAGATTCTTGGCCCATCATGTAAACAGCCTGGGAAAAAGAAATAAAACAGCTTCAAAGAGACCCACCCTTACTGAACTCATTAAGAAAGGAGGACTGAAAGAATCTTATATGAGGTCTCAAAAGTCTGTACTCTAACCCTCATTTTTTGTCATTAAATCTTGCTTTTTTGTTTGTGATCAGCACTTAATGGGCTTGAAACTAAGCAAATAATTACATTACAACTTAGTACATTATATGATACATCTGTAACCAGACACTAGCAGTTATACATACTATTTTCTATATTTATTTCTCTACAAAGATAATGTGTTTTGTTAATTCCAGAAAATTAGTTTTTATTAATTGAATTGATGCATTCCAGCCTGGATACATTTTTATTAAAATTACCTCATCCTGCTTTGCGCTTTGATTTTATTAGCAAGCTATGGCTCAATTCTATAGGAAGCTGGCAGAGTTGTTATTTGGTGCCTCAGTTATTCTTACTTCCTCAAGAAGAAAATAAAACATGTCAATATGGATTTTACAAAAAAATAAAACAAACAACCCACTCTGACAGGTGACTTGTGCCAGATACCTTCACTGTACAATATTAACACATGAGCAAAGAGCAGGGCCTTTATTTTGATAGTTCTGTAACAATGCATCATCAGAAAAGATTAATGTTTTGCAAATACTTGCTAGTTGTGACAATGGAGATATCTGACTTATGCAAAATATGCTTACTTTAAGATTATCTAAGATTATCTAAGATTCTATTTTTTTCATTCCTATGCGCCTTCCTTCTGGCTAAAATTAAAAGCTGTTTTTCATTGCTAAGTGAATTCAG